TTGTGACGCTGGGAAGCCCAGGAAGGTTCAGAGCAGAGAGACTGCAGGATGGGGCAGTGCTCACCCAGACAGTTCTTATTATCTGGGGCTAGCTTGTAGCCAGAGTTGCAGATGCAGTAGAAGGTTCCCGGAGCATTGACACACTGGTGTTGGCAGCCATGTCCCCACTCAGCACACAGGTCCTTCCCTGAGGACACACAAGGAGACAATCAGCAGAGAACAGAGGAGCAGAAGTGTCCAAGGAGAGGGCTCGGTGGAGGGTAGGGGTAGGGTCTGAAGCGAATACCCCAGTACGGACTTAGGCAGGATGCGAATTCGGATCTTTGTGGGGGCCAGTCCAGGTGAGAGGGTTAGGGGAAGAATGGGATGGTCTTAGAAAAGGGCACCGCCCTGAAAAGGGGGTGGAGCTAGAACAGGACCATACAGAGGTGGGGCCCGAGCAGAAAGATGAAAAGGCATTAAACGGTAGAGGGGGTAGCTCGGCGTGTGAGTACAAAGGCAGTGCAGAGGAGCATGCCTGAAGTCTCAACGCTTGGGAGGTGGATTTAGGAGGATCAGGAATTCAAGGTCAGTCTCAGCTGCAAATAGATTTCAAGGCCAGTCCAGGTTACAAGGAATCTTGTCGTCATCGTCCTCCCCCACACCACAAAAGTGACTAAGAGAGCTTTCATAGCCTTTGTAAACGCGGGGGCGGGGAGGGGGTACTTAGAGTGGGAGGAACCATAATCGGGTGGGCGGAGCATGACAATAGTCTCGATTTTAAGGGTTTGTGATTGTTTGTGACTTGACTGCCCTGGAACCCTCTCTATAGACCAGGCTGGCCTCAAACTCACAGAGATCCACCTGCCTCTGCCTTCCAAGTGCTGGGATTAAAGGTGTGCACCACCACTGCTCAGCTGTGATTGTTTTAAAGACATTTGGTGTTGAAGTTTGACATTTAGCTTGTGACACACGAAGCAAAGCTAGTCCCTGATCCAGCAGGACTGACTGCTGAATGTTGAGGGACCAAGCCTGGATTGTGATACACCACTCTACAGGCAGAATGCGCTACTGTATCTGGGAGGCGGAGTAAAGCCCTTCCGCCACGCGACAGAGAGGGATTGTCTGTAACGATGCAAAACTAGAATATAGCCACTCTAACTCACCGCACAGCCGGCCCTGAAACTGCAGACCAAACTCCTGGATGAGATCGAAGGATTCCACCAAGAAGACGTGCTGGTCCAGTGGTGGCGAAGCCATGGCTCTTAGAGAGCCCACATCGGCTCGCTGCACCCCCACCGCGTAGATCTCAATGCCGCGGGCGCGCGCCTGCGCGGCCACTTCGGCCACTCGGTCTTGAGGTCTCCCGTCGGTCACGATGACCAAGACCCGCGGCACTCGCTCCTCCAGTGGGCGCGCGCCTTCGGCCTCACTGAAGGCCACGTTCATGGCATACTGGATGGCCAGCCCGGTCATGGTGCCCTGCGCTAGAGGCACTACGGCGCGGATGGCGCGCTCCATGTCCTCGCGACGTGAGAAGGCGCCCAGGGGAAACACGCTCTGCACTTGACTGGAATACTGGATCACGCCAACACGCGTGGCGTTCAACCCCACATCCAGGCTACGGAGGAGGCCCACTAGAAACTGCCGCATGGTCTCGAACTCGAAGGGGCGCACGCTGCGGGAGCTATCAATCACGAACACCAAATCCAGGGGCCCAGTATAGCACCTAGGACCTGCAGGGAGATGGGAAAGGACTCTCTCGGGTCAACTAAAGCTGATATCTCAGGAAAAGCCAGACTCTGTTATCCAATGAAACAGCGCCCAGCATATTAGCCTAACAAACACACCTTGGATACAGCCACTCATCCATCCTTTAGGGGTGGGGAGGGGGGGTCCCCACCCAAGAAATCGCACAAGTTCCCTGCATACAGCTAGCTCTGGAGACTGTTCTGAGTGGGCAAAGAGATGTTCCAATCTCCAATGCGTACGTGAACTGGTCAGATATTATAAATGAATGAAGTGGTTCGATTATGCCTATGACACCACAAGCCGCGGTATCCCTGCTAACGTGGGTTGTCCCAGCAACATATTGTCGTATACCCAAGTGGGCTAGATGTTTAGCAGGTCCTTTCAGGGTTTTTTTTCCCAAGAAAATTCTCAGATAGGGGTTTTTATGTGGAATCTCCTGATTTTTCCAGGTTTTCAATATGCTTCAATAAAATTCAACACCAAATGATCAGTTCTGCATGAACCTAAAACCATGCCACATACTGCAGGTAAGGAAACCACACAAGAGGTGATGTGGGAAGCCCAAATCCAGCCCACAATGTTCCAAAGCCCTTGCTTTTCTTTCTCCAGCAATGCTGGCTGGAGGTGGATAAAGGAGCTGTTTCTGCTCCCTTCCTCCCGTGGTGAGGGCTGGGCCTCCGCTCACCTGCAGACTGCAGCTGGATTTCCCAGGGCTGGAGGAAGAGCAGCAACAGAGGCAGTGGCCAGAAAAGACAGCCCCTCATGATGCCTGTAGGATGGAGCACCAAAGTGTCGCAGCCTGAAGGTAATAAAGCAACAGTTTTGACCTTTCTCTTACTTCGGGGATGTGCACTTTGTTTCTGTGTTTGTTCAAAATGTCTTGCCAGGCATGGCTGCACACCCAGGAGGCAGAAACAGGCAAGATCTCTGTGGGTTCGAGGCCAGTCTGGTCAACATAGTCAATTCCAGGCCAGCCAGGGTTACGTGGTGAGACCCTGTCTCAAAACAAGAGTTTATGGTAATTCTTTTAATGTCACCACCTTGGGATTGCTGAAATTCACAGCAGAAAACGACATTTTGCAGAACTACAGGACACAAAGTAAATAGAGTAGACAAAAACATATAAACCTCAAAAGGGGATAAACTCTTTTTTTAAAAGATGTTTTATGTTTTTATTGTGTGTGCGTGCACACGCTACAACACACACGTGTGGAGGTCAAGGGGCACTTCGCTGAAGTTGGCTCTCTCCTTCCATTGTGTAGGTCCCAAGCTTAGATAGTACTGAACTCCGGTAGTCAGTTTTGGCAGCATCCTGCCGGTCTCCAAAGAAGCCTTTTCTAAATACAAAGTACAGCATTAAATACGTTCATCCGATGTGGCATTAACTCTCTACCCAGTTCTGGCACTTAAGGCTGTTGTTGACTTGGTTGTACCTATTCAGAAAGATACTCAATGCTGCTAGCCAACCTCGTGTAGCAGGAAAGTGGCTACACGGAGATAGACTCCTGTCTGTCTCGTCTGTCAGTCAGTCAAGGCGCTCCAAACTCTCTTCTTCTGCAGAGAGAAGCCATCCCCCGCCGGCTCCCCCACCCCCTGAGAAGTGCAGCCCTTTTGGGTTCTAGGGTCTTAGTGGTAAGCCCAGGAGTGGGCCATGAACAAGAACCGCCTGGACGTCTTCGTTACCCTCCTGCTCTTAGGAGAGGCCGCCAGGGGGCGCCTGCCGGGTCTGCCTTCTACGGCCGTGGGAAGCCCACATCTGCCCGGCAGGTGTCCCTGCCCAGAGCAAACAGGCGGTTGAGGAGCCCCGGGACCTTGAAGATAAGACTTGGACGAAATATATCCGGTGCGAGGGTCGGGGGACAGATGTGTGGAGGGTACCGAAGACAGCGGCACTAGACGTGCTCAGAGAGCAGCGAGAGAGCGGCTGGGGCCTCGACGAGCGGCCATGGACCCCGTGGGGACAACAGGTGAGTGTTCACTTTTCTGTGTAGTCTAGCGAGGTCCCCTGAGAACGACGAAGGACACGTACACACACGGACACACACACACGGACACGGACACAAGGACACACAAACACACCCCGTACGATTGGAAAATTTGGGGCCCAATAAGGCTGTCAGGTAGGCTGCAGGCACAGAGCTAAACCTAGGCCCCCCTCTCTTCCTCCAGAGCCTCCTAGTTGCCTGGCACCTAGGAGTCACTAAGCCTTTCTTCCGTTCCCTACCCCACCCCCACCCGGCACGCTGAGCCTGCTCTATCCATTTTTCAGTCGCTGTTTCTTGGCAGAGCAGGCCAGCGCCCCCTAACCCACCGCCGCCCCGCCCCCGTTTTCCTTGAATGGGCCCTTTCTGAGCAAGGCCGGTGTGTGTCTCTGGCTCCAGCCTGCCTTCCCATCCGGGATTCTTCTCCCTTCTGACATTCCAGGAGGGGTAGAAGAACAAAAATCCCTCTAGCAGGGTGACTGAGGGAGCAGGATGAGCCAGCTGCTTGCTGGTGGACATAGAAGGCAGGGGATGCCTTTTCCAGAGTGGGCCATGGCCGAGGCAGTTAACATCTGCGTGAAGGTCCACGGGGGCCTTTGCAACTCCGTGTTGACTCTTGACTTCCGTCCCTACTCTTGGCCTAAGTCAACATGCACTTGGTTATCACCTCACCTGCACCCCAGGAATCTTAGAAAGTCAAAATAGCTTCTGTCTCTCAACTTCAACTTTCCAAACCTGCCATTCCCCAGAGGAAAGTCGGTCGGGGAAGGCAAAGGCAGTCATCACTCAAGGCTTGCTTTGAAGTGGTGGTGGCCCACTAGAGTGACACTGGACCCCCAGTTGAGGAGGGGGTTTCTCCTCCGATGCCCTTAGGGTAGGGAAAGTGCATTCCCAAGGAAGGGGAGGTCTATGAGGTCAAGAGCTGACCGGGAATGGACACTTGGGGAAGGAGCCAGAACCTAGAGGGAGGAGATTAGAGGAGGAGGGCCTGCGTTTAGTCTGCCTTGCTGGAGGCACATCGGAAAAAGGTACTACGGGTTAGATGAGGGCACGTAGGCGGTTAAGTACTGTCCCCCTCCTGGTTCTTCGCTGCAGACCCCTCAGTGCCCCCGGGCCCTTTGACTCACCTGAGCCTGCGGGACAGCTCAGAGGCGCGGCTACAGAGCGACGGGCCAAGCCTCCTGGGGAGTTGGACCAGGTAACGTGGGCAGCCAGACAGCTAGAGCGAGGCGAGGCGGCAGCTGCATTTAACCTGGGTTGGGCGGGTGGGGAGGGGGAGCGCGGGCTGCGACCCCTCCCACTGGCAGGGAGCGAGCTCTCCCTCTGAGCACCCGGGCCCGGCAAGCGCAGCACCCCCCTTCTCCTGCCACTCTCGGGGCTGCAGGAGCGAGCTGCGGGCAGGCCGGAATTCGGCTACAGCTGGAGTCGGGCGGCGACACTCCCGGCAGCCGGAATGCTCTGGAATTCTACACGAGACACTTCCCAGAGGAGAGCCCCAAGAGGCGGAGCGGTCCTGGCCGCCGCCTGCCTGGCCTGGCTGGGCTTCCGAGGACGCGCCCGGTTCTTGCCCTCCTCGGTCCCTTCCAGGAGTGATGAAAGGCCGGCATTCGGTCCTGCTAATAGGGTAAAGGGACTCAAAAGGACAGCCTCAGCGTTCTTAGCTCTTTTCAGGGCCCAACCTGCTAATTTCTCAAATATCTCCCACCATGGGCTCATTTATATGCTCCATTTAGTTGTGTAAGCCTTATGAAATCCCATCCTGCTAAACTCTCAGGCTGACAAGCAACAGACCCCAGAGAGCTGACTTCGCTCACCCTACAAAGCCAATGTCTTGATTCCCTGTGTTCGAAGAAAGGAAAGGCCCTGTAGCAATAAGCCAGGTGTGCCGTTTGGGCTTCAAAGACTCTGATGGCCCTGGGGCTTCGTTCACACGAGCACCCGTCTGTCTGCTGGAAGTGCGGCTGTGCCCCAGATCTAGAGCTGGCAAAAGCTGTCTCCTGGGGTGAAGGCTTAATTACTATTTCTACAAAGCCCACCTCCATCTGAAGACCAAGTGTAGGGCTTTAAACTGCAGCTCATCCGCTATGGCCTCAGACTACACCAGTCAGAAAGCCACCCACATGGTGCAGCGCCTGGGTGATCCTGGTGAGTTCTGTGCAGGCTTCATGGAGCACAGATATGTGGCCCCTGGCCCAAGTCCTCCCCCTTGCCTGACATTTCTTCCCCAGACCTCTCGGGGAACGCAGAGCAACCCCAGTTCCTACTTTGGCTTTGTGCCCGCTCAACCCTTGACTCCCCTTCCTGTGGCTGGTTGGCCCATGCCCATTCCTAGGTCACCCCCAGAGCACGCTGCCATCCTGAGGGAAGGGGTGCGTGCATGCCTGCAGCAACGATGTGAACAGACTGTGTGGATCCTGCATGCCAAGGTGGCTCAGAAATCCTATGGAAATGAGAAGAGGTAGGGTGACCGCATGTCAACTCCCAGGTCTCCACAGCCCTGTGCACCCCTGCTAACCTGCCACCACTGAACTGCTTTTGCATCTTACAGAGGCCTCAAGGCTCACACCTCAGCTGTTGGCCAACCAGGGTCCTGTTCCTCAGCCAGCAGTAGCCACCGGCTAGGGTCCACAGCAGAACTTCACCGGGACTCTCAGGTCCCCACATCCCCACTCATCATCCCCATTCCCTCCTTCCTTACCGAATGTCACACACCAGGCCCTGTGGTCACTGCCAGGCACTAAGTGCCCAGCATCTTCACCCAGGTGCAGAAGAGGCAGTTACCTCCCCACAAATCAGCAAACTACATACTTCAGATTGTGATGACAGCAGGGTCACATGGTAGAACCCAAAGGGATAGCTTAGCTTGAAAGGTCCACGAGGTCAAAGGGCTCTTTAGGAAGTGACATCAGAACTGGGGTAGCAACACTGAAGTGGAACCAGACATGAAAGAATCTCCAGCAAGCGTTCCAACTAGAAGGGCCAGAAAAGACAAGGACCTCAAGGCTGCTAGGCCTGCACAGCTAGGCCTGGAGGAGGAGGAGAGGGGGTGCCATGGGAAATAAACAGGAGAAGATAAATGTCCAGGTCACATGAAGACTTGGGATTTTAAACCAAGGATTCTAACAGGGCAGTATTATAATTTGACTCATATTTTTATCATTACTAATAATATTATTTATTTTATTTTTTACATTTTGTGGGAATAAGACAAACTTTGGCCAGGCAGTGGTGGCGCACGCCTTTAATCCCAGCACTCGGGAGGCAGAGGCAGGCAGATCTCTGTGAGTTCGAGGCCAGGCTGGACCCATAGCCTCCAAAACAACACAGAGAAACCCTGTCTCATAAAAACCAAAAAAAAAAAAAAAAAAAAAGACAAACTTTGACTTTGTAGCTCAAGCTTGACTTGAATCCACAGCAATTCTCCTGCCTCAGGCCTCATTCCCTCCAGTGCCCAGTGCTGGGATTAGGATTACAGGCATGAGCCACCACACCCGATTTAGTTTAATTGTGATTTTGAAGAATTATTTATTAGCTGGTCGGTGGTGGTGCACATCTTTAATCCCAGCACTTGGGAGGCAGAGGAAGGCGGATCTTGGTGAATTCGAGGTCAGCCTAGTCTACAGAGCAAGTTCCAGGACAGGCTCCAAAACTACACAGAGAAACCCTGTGTCAAAAAACAAAGAAAAAGATTCATTTACTTATTTTATGTGTATGGGTGCTTTGTCTACACACTAGAAGAGGGCATAGGATCCCATTACAGGTGATTGTGAGCCACCATGTGGGTGCTGGGTATTGAACTCAGGACCTCTGGAAGAGCAGCCAGCACTCGTAACCTCTGTCTCTCTTGCCCCTTGACTGCTATTTTCAATGCTCTTGTTGTTACTGCATGTATGTGTGGATGCCACAACTCGCATGGAGATCAGAGGATAATGTTGCATAGTTGGTTCTCTCCTTCAACCTTTTGGTGGGTTCTGAGGTTTGAACTCACGATGTCAGGTTGATCCTGGCAAGCATTTTATCTGTCAAGCCAACTGTTATTTAAGACATAATCTGATTGCTGTGTGAAAAAAAAAAAGTTCAAAGAGGGGCAGTAACAGGGGAGAGATAGTTGGAAGGCCAAGAGTGGGGAAGTCAAGAGGTAGGACCAAGGTGCAGGTGGTAGGAAGCCATCGGATTCCAGATGTTTTGAAGAGTGGGCAGGACTTACGGGGTTTTAATAAGCAAGAGAATGTTCTGTGTTAGCAGGATTCACTCAACTAGGAGAGGAGGGGAAAATCACCAGTCCTTGGGTTTATGTCTCTTTGAGACACTTTCAAGACAATGAAAACGATATATCCAGCTCTCTGCGTGTTCCCAGGTTCTTCTGTCCTCCGCCCTGTGTCTACCTCGCCGGTCCAGGCTGGAGGGTAAAGCCAGTGCAAGACCAAGGTGAGAAGCACACACAGGGGCTGTTCTCTGCAGGAAGGAAGGACCAACTAATTCAGCTGGGCCGGGAATCCAGCCGTTTGCAGGAGCAGTCTCGTTGCGCCCTCTGGCGGCAAGAGCTGAGTTTGACTGGCCCCTGAGTCTCCCCAGTCCTTTCAAGGTTAATTCCGGTCATTTTCTAGCCCACCAGTCTGCGGAGACCGGGCCCACCGTCTGCGGCTACATGGGACTGGACGGTGCGTCCGGCAGCGCTCCCGAGACGCAGAAGTTGAATTTCGAAGAACAGCCGGACTCAAGGGTGAGACTACATGACAGAGCATCCAATTCCTGTCCCCAGCCCTGCCTCTTCTTTACAAAGGAGGACTCTGATTCCTCTCCAGAAGCCAAGAGACTAGGGGGGAGACCAGAGTGTGTGTGGGGGGGGGGGTCTGATCCAGAACCTAGCTAGTACGGCTTCTTGTCATCTCTGATGAGATGGATGTCATAACTGCGGAAGGTTGGCGCATGCGCCGGCAGAGTTGAGATAACACGGGTCCCATCCCCATGAGCCCCGTAGGAATTTGGTTGTGCCAAGACCCTGTACATCTCTGACGCCGACAAGAGGAAGCACTTCCGTCTAGTGCTGCGGCTTGTGCTGCGAGGAGGCCGAGAGCTGGGTACCTTCCATAGTCGCCTCATCAAGGTGATCTCCAAGCCCTCACAGAAGAAGCAGTCGCTGAAAAACACAGACCGTGAGAGAGGGTGGGGTGGGAGGGTGCAATCCAAATCTGGAGCTATAAAATTGGGAGGAGGGTGCAGGGGTAGAGTCGGGGGTGAGCGGTGGAGTCTGAGTAGAAAGAAGGGAGGATTCTGGGTGAGTGGCAGGCCAAGGCCAAGAGAAAAGTCACCCACGTGATACAGGAAGAGGAGAGAGAACCAGATTTGAAGGTGTCAGTGGGGAACTGAGAACAGACATAAGCTGCTGCTGGGTGCCAAAACACGGGCGGGTTAAAAACGACCTTACGGAAGTTGTGTCCCAGATCCAAGAGTGGTCTAGTTGGCCGTTGGTAATCAGGAAGAGCAGACAGCATGGTGACACAGTGTGGTGGTTAAGAGTGCAGAATCTGGCCGTCTGGTTTGAACCCTGTTCTGAAGTTTGCTAGCTGCCTGGCCTTCGGCAGACCAATCCCTTAGCCGGAAGTAAGAGAATCAACAGAGCTTTATGTATATTTAGAAATGTCAAGGATGGGGAGATGGCTTGTGGTCAAAGTGCTTCCAACACAAGCATGAGAATCCAAGTTTGGGTCCCCATAAAAGCTGAATGTGGCTGAAGGTGCTGGTGACCCCTGCCCTGAGCAAGTAGGGACAGGCGGATCCTCCTAGGGCTCTCTGGCCGGAAAGTTCTAGAAAAATGGAGAGCTCTCAATCTAGTGAGAGCCTGTGTCAATCCAGTGGAGAGTTATGGAGGGCTGTACGTGGAGTAAACCTCTGGTTTACACACACACACACATACATACACACACACACACACAGGGAAGGAAGGGAAGAAGGAGGGAGGGAGGGAGGAAGAAAAGAAGGGAAGGAGGAGGAAAGACAGGAGGAAGGGAAGGAGGAAGAAAGAAAGGGAAGGAAGGAAGGAAGGAAGGAACTATTGTATGATAAGTTCAATGGAAGTGATTTGGACTAGGTGTGAATGCATGCCAACAGTCTGTCCAGCATTAAGGGCAGAGAGGAAGGCACCCTGCCCAGGGCCATATCCCCAACTGGTCTAAGTCCAGTGGGAAAATAAAGCTGGGTCTCTGCGCATATGCCACAGGGCAGAAGACACGGTGAGCTCTAGAAAACTTCCACCTCTCTTTCATGCCGCGTGGTCTTTGCTTAGCTGCTGGCCGTCAATGCAACTCCCTCCTGCTTCATACTTCTGGGCCCCAGGAGGCCTCCTTAACTCAGCTTTTACCACATTGTGTTAGCATTTCATATTTATGTTCTCCAGACCATGAACTCTTTCAGGGCAAAGCGGGGGGGGAGAGAGATGGGGGGCAATTCACACCCTCAGCACCCAGCACAGTACCTATCACAAAGCAGGTCCTAAGTTAAGTGACTTGATGAACTCAGTTCACTGAACTGAAGGATGTCCGGTTGTACCAGGGAACTGGCAAGCTGAGAGCAGGAGCGGAGCCTAGCTAAGCGGCTGTGAAATGCTAATGCCCTACTTGCCCCGGCCGGTGGGCTTAGTAGCCGGGCTGTCACAGAGGACAGAAGATCATCTGGGCAGACCGAGGGACCACATGAGGACAGGGCACTGATTCCACTCCTCTCACAGTGTGCATCTCCTCGGGCTCAAAGGTCTCCCTTTTCAACCGCCTGCGCTCCCAGACAGTGTCCACACGCTACCTCTCTGTGGAAGATGGAGCCTTTGTGGCCAGCGCAAGACAGTGGGCTGCCTTCACACTCCACCTGGGTAATCACACGAGCAGGTGTGGGCTGGGTGCTCCATGTGCATTAGCATATTTAACCAACACTTCAGGAAGGTAAACAAGTGTACCTGAGCCTTGGGGAACAAAGACTTGCCCCCCACCCCACCCGCACCCAGTGAGTCAGTGATTAACCCAATCTATTCTGACCCCAGTGACTATTCCCTTTCCCCTTAAGCCAGTAAAGTGGCTGGCCCAGGGAGCACACCTTTGTAGGGATGACTACAGATTACCTCTCCAGGGTTAGAATTTAAATCTTCACTTCTTCCCCTCATGGCCAGCTGCGGTGGGCATGAAGCCAGAGCAGGTGAAGAAGTAGGGTTTGGGGCAGAGGTTCTGAAGCCTTTGTCCCTGTCTTTCATCTCCAGCTGATGAGCACCGTTCCCAAGGGGACTTCCCACCCCAGGAAGGTTACATCCGCTATGGCTCCCTGGTACAGCTTGTCTGCACAGTCACAGGCATCACCCTGCCTCCTATGGTACGAGGAAGGACTTTGTATCCACACGGGTAACCACAGATCAGTACAGCAGCGTGGCCACTGAGGGCAGGCTGGGGGGGGGGGGTGAGGCCTGAAGACCTGAAGACACCTCCCCCTCTCTAAGTGCTTACTGGGAGTGTGCCTGTGACCCCATGGCTATCAGAATAGAACCGCCTGGCTGGAGAGCAGCCAGCCTGTAGGGACCTCGCACCTCGCCACCCCTCTTCCTGACACCCTTCTGCTGCAGATCATCCGCAAAGTAGCCAAGCAGTGTGCCCTCCTTGACGTGGACGAGCCCATATCCCAGCTGCACAAGTGCGCATTCCAGTTTCCAGGTGACACTTCAGGAGAGGGTGGCACCTACTTATGCCTTGCCACAGAGAAGGTGGTGCGATTCCAGGTGAGCAGCAAGGGCTGCCGAGCATACCAGGGAGAATACAGAGGGCCGTAGGATATAAGATCTTGGCCACGACGGTTGCTGCTTCTGAGGCAACAGTACTGTCCATGAAACAGTAGAGTCATAGAATGAGGAAAAACAATGTAATTACTATTAGTAAGCAATGCTCCTCCCCAAGGGCTTTTAGGTGTTGGGATATGAAATTGCAGAATACATGAACTGGAGGGATGATAGCTCAGTAGTTAGGAGAACTTGTTGCTCTGCCAGAGGACCTACGTTCAAGTCCCAGCACCCACACGCTGGGTCACCACTTGTAACTCCAACTCTAGGGAATCTGACACCCTCTTCTGACCTTGAAGGTCACACACCACACATATACATATACATAAATAAAAAGGAAAATTTTAGGATATGAGTAAAATCTTAGTAGGAGATAGTACTGAATATTACTGAACAAAGTTATAAGATGTCAAGGCACAAAATCATACAGTATGGAAAACAATAATTATTAAGTAATATTTCTCCCAAAATATTATTCTGGAAAGTAAGTAGATAGAATCATAAAATATAGAAAACAATCATTACGGTCAGGTGATGCATGCCTGTAATCTCACCACTCAAGAGGCAGAAGCAGGAGATCTCTGAGTTCAAGACCAGCCTGGTCTACAGAGTGAGTTCCAGGGCAGCTAGAACCACACAGAGAAATCCTGTTTTAAAGGAAAAAAAAAACAGTAATTATTATTGAACAATATTCACTTAGAGACAGTATTAGAATTATGCTTGGTTTTTCGTGTTTGTTTGAGACAGGTTCTATTCATGAGGCCTAAGAAGGCCTTGAACTCTCTAAGCAGCAAAGGCTGACCTTGAGTTCATGATCCTCCTGCCTCCATCTATCAAATGCTGCCATATGCACCACTACTCCCAACTAATTTTTATTTATTAGTTTATTTTTGGTGTTTGTCTTTTGTGGAGTTTGGTTTGGTTTGGTTTGGTTTTTCAAGACATGGTTTTTCTGTATATCCCTGGCTGTCCCGGAACTTGCTCTGTAAACCAGGCTGGCCTCAAACTCAGAGATCCAACTACCTCTGCCTCCCAAGTGCTGGGATTAAATGTGTGTACCACCATGGCCTTGCTAAGGCACAAGATTTTACAGTGTTAAAAGAGGGTGGATATGGCTGGAGAGGCAGCTTAGTGATTAATTGCATTTGCTTCTCTTACAGAGGGCAAAAGTTTGGTGCCCACACCTAGGTCAGGTGGCTCACAACTGCCTGTAAGTCCGGTTCCAGGGGATCTGACACTCTCTTGTGACCTCTGCTGGCACTTGCACACACTGGCACTCACATGCACATAAGCAAAAATTATTTTTTGCAAAGATAGGGGAGCATGGTGATGAAGGCTATAATCCTATTTGTGAGGCTGAGGTAGAAGAGCAGAGAGTTCAAAGCCTGTTGTGCTACAGTGAGTTCAAGGCCAGCCTGAGCAATTTAGTGAGACCTTGTCTCAAAGCGTAAAAGGAGTGGAGATACAGCTCACTGGTAAAGTGTTTGCCAAGCAAGCGTGGAGTTCTAGGTGCAGTTCCCAAATACCAAGAAAGAAAATGAAAGTGAAAAGCAAATGAGGAAAATATGTTATAGTTTCCTCCAACCTCCACCCACAGACAGACAGACAGACAGACAGAGGGGGGAGGGAGAGAGAGAGAGGGAGGGAGGGAGGGAGGCGTGGGGGAGGAGTTTATACACACATAAATACACAGTACAAATAAAAAGATTTGTTTTGGGTTTTTTGTTGTTGTTGTTGTTGTTTGTTGTTGTTTTTTGAAACAGAGTTTCTCTGTATTGCTTTGGAGCCTGTCCTGGAACTCGCTCTGTAGACCAGGCTGGCCTCGAACTCACAGAGATCCGCCTGCCTCTGCCTCCGAGTGCTGGGATTAAAGGTGTGCAACACTACCGCCTGGCAAGAATTTATTTTTAAAGAATGAGTTTGAACATATACCCCATATAGTGGGAGGGGCTCACCCAAGGCCCCTGGGGTAGACAAGCAGAAAGCTTAGAAGGGGAGCTTCCGTTCCATCCTTTCCATCTCCCGCCAGGCTTCCCTCTGTCCCAAGGAGGCCAATAGGGCACTGCTCAACGACAGCTCTTGCTGGACCATCATTGGCACCGAGTCGGTGGAGTTTTCCTTCAGCACCAGCCTGGCCTGTACTCGGGAACCTGTCACTCCAGTGCCCCTCATCAGCACTCTAGAGGTGAACTGCCGGCTGGTGTGCAGCCAGCCTGTCTGCTTTGGGAATCGGGAGACTGCCGGAGAAAGGACAGGACGCTCACACACACACACACACACACACACACACACACACACACACACACACACACACACACTCACTCACTCACACTAGCACACAGACACATTCCCCAGTCACCTACATCTGGTCCTATCCGCCCCCAGCTGAGTGGCGGAGGCGATGTGGCCACGTTGGAGCTGCACGGAGAGAATTTCCACGCTGGGCTCAAGGTGTGGTTTGGAGACGTGGAGGCAGAAACCATGTACAGGTACCGGTGGGGGAGGGGCAGTTTGACTACAAGGATCAAAGGCTGGAATGTTTGTCAATCTATCCTCCATTCCCCACCCGCAGGAGCCCGCGGTCCTTGGTGTGCGTGGTGCCAGACGTGGCGGCCTTCGGCAGCGACTGGCGTTGGCTGCGCACTCCCATCACGGTGCCGGTGAGCCTGCTGCGTGCAGATGCTCTCTTCTACCCCAGCGCCTTCTCTTTCACCTACACCCCGGAATACAGCGCGCGGCCGCGGCCGCCGGACTCGCACGAGCCCGCCCCTGATGCAGACGCGCTTCTCGAGAGCATCCACCACGAGTTTACGCGTACCAACTTCCACCTCTTCTGCCCCAGCTAGGCACCGCCACCTGCGACTGACACCCACTCGCAGCTGTCCCTTGGGAGCATACATTCGGCTTCCATGCCCCTTAGCTATGAAAGGGCAGGAGGGAGGGAAATCTCTCACCTGTCCTCAGGCCACTCACTGTCCTCAGACATACCGGAGCTATCAATCATAAGTGATGTTCTAATGTCTTCACCTTGTGGGATGTAGCTTGGTTTTTTGTAACCTCGTAGATCTACCCTTCCATCTTCGTCTCTTTCTGGCCCTTCCTGCATCTTTGGCGGACTCTGAGGATCCAAGCCTAAGGGATTTGCCTTTCAGACATCTGTGTCCCCACTTGAAAACAAGTACCACAAAGTACAGCTAGAATGTCTTGGGTGCTGATCCTATCTGGGGTCCCTCTTAGAGCTAGGCATCAGCCCCTGGCTACACACCCTATGGCACCCTCCCTGGGTTTGATCGCTGGCACAGAACATTAGTGGTCAGGCAGTGGACTAGGACAGAAGATAACTTTTGCCCTCTTTCCAGTACCCACTGCCACTTCTCCTTCGGGCCGACAGGAAGCAGCCTGAGAATAAAGGCCGCTATATTCCAGGTATAGGTGAAGGAGAACACACTGTGGCAGGGAGTGGGAGGTTGGGGTGCTGCTGGGTGCTCCCCAGGTTCTGTCCAAGTCTAAGTCTGGGAATAGGTACCTGTGTATCTCTGCAGAGAAGAAATGCTGTTCGAGGCAGCAGATAACCTAAGCCTGGGGAATAACTGGCAGCCAGCAACTAGTTAGACCACCATGCCAAACAAGAAGACACTGCAGACTCGGGCAATCACAGTGCCTCTTCAGACCAAAACTTTCCCAGGACAAGGCAGACAGACATAATGGAATTGAGAAATGAGCCTCTGAGCATAGGGCCCACAGCCAGAGCTACAGCCTTCTCTTTCCCTGCCTACTCCATGCTTATGTGAAAAAGGTAGGATGCTGGCTTGGTCTGTGAAAACCAAAGACATGGATACAAAGGGCACCAGTCTCTGGTCTTGCCTGGTAGGGAGAACTGCTTTGAAATATGGGCTCAGTCTCTGGCCATACCACCCCTGAACACACCAGATCTCACCTGAAATGTGGGTTCAAAGCTCTAATGATCTGGAACTTTCCTTAACCCTTGGAGGAAGAGCTCTCTTTTCCTGTAAGCTCCCCCACCCCCTAAATTCAGAAAGTCCCAAAAGAAAGCAGCAATAAGATGTGTCCATTGCCGGTGGTGGGGGTGGCGCATGCCTTTAGTCCCAGCCCTTGGGGGGCAGAGGCGAGCAGATCTCTGTATGTTCAAGGCCAGCCTGGTCTACAGTAAGTGAGTTCTAAGACACCCAGAGCTATCTTTGACAAACCCTGTAAAAACAGTCTTACTGATCTTTTTTTCTTGGTCTTCACTGGTTCCTGTCATCCACTATGGACAAGGTGAAATTCACCTCGAAAGACAAGGAAGAAGTTTGCTCAGAGCCCAAGCGGCCTCTGGCAGTGAATCCTGGCTAAGAAATGCAGGGCACATTTTCAATGAGCTATATCCCCAACCACTGTCCCCATGATGACGTTGAAACAAGGAGGAAACAAAGGAGAGTCCAAAGTGTACCAAGAGGGGAACTGGGCTCCAGGGCCATTCAGTTGCCCCCTGGGCTTTCTCTGCTGCGTCCCACAGCCAGTCTGAGCCCAAGACCAGGCCTGCAGCTCTGTCCTCTGTTTTATAACCAATGCCCCACCTAGGAGTCTGACCTCAGAGCTCTAGCCGCAGGGCAGATGGTGGAGGTACTCCTGGACTGGAGTCTGCATCATCTGACATAAAAGCCTTCCCTACCCATGCCTTCACAGCACTGGATCTCTGTCTTCTTCCCCAGCAGACAACCCCACCATCAAGCCTTAAGGACCCTATGGCTTCTTCCACAACAAAATCTGCCTCTCCCCTTTGCTCTCTCTCCACAGCTCTGCCCTCCAGATGCAGGAAAATGCCAAAGGAAGTCCCAGTTCTCCAGTTTAAAGCAAAAATCCATGAGCCCCCTAAATTCAGATCTTATCAGTAATTTCAAGATGGAGACGGGAAACAGTAGCTCAGGGCTAGAGCTATTTCAGAGTTTCACATACTCGTGAAACCAGCCCTAGACACAGCCTTCTATCTTGTATTCTACCAAGTTGCCTCCTGTATTGGGTTGTCCCCTCTAGGCTGTGATGTTCATATGGAAATAAGATTATCATGTATTTGTTTATCTCTCTGTAACACAATGCCTTGCACAATAAACTGGGGCTCCTTGATTAAGAAACTGCATTGCATTGCCAGATAATGGTTTGCAAGTGCAAAGGAAAACCACCAGGTGGCACTGTTCCCCTCACAAACATAAATGCTGTCCAAAAGCGATCGGAATCCTCCCAAGATAATCTTTTTTCATGTCTTTGGGGTTCTCTAGAGGTTTACACGCTCAGTTCTACATGTCTCCAAGAAATTTACAAAGTTCTAAAACCCACTTGTGGGTCCACTTAGTTCACTAGATTCAGCTTAGTAAGTTAGCTGTCCTTAGAAGGCCTAGTGGCAAATGCATTTAGTCCCAACACTCTGGAGGCAGAGACAGGCAGATCTCTGAGTTTAAGGTCAGCCTAGTCTACAGAGTGAGTTCTAGGTTATCCAGGGCTACATGAAGCAACCCTGTCTCAGATAGATAGATAGATAGATAGATAGATAGATAGATAGATAGATGGATAGACAGACAGACGATAGATAATAGATGATAGACAGATGATTGATAGATAGATGGATAGATAGATAGATAGATAGATAGATAGATAGATAGATAGATAGATAGTGAGATAGTGAGATAGTGAGATAGTGAGATAGTGAGATAGTGAGATAGTGAGATAAAGATAGATAGATCTTTCCAGGCCATAGCACAGATCAATCTGATTAAGATTCCTGTGCAGATGGGACTGGGTGTCTGTATTGTTGTCAAACCTCCTGTATGACTCTAACAAGAAGTAAGAAGTTGGGAATCACTGCCCCAGCACACCTTCTGGTGTAGAAGGATTAGCTGAAGCTACAAGAGAGGAAACTCTAAGCCCACAACAGCAGGCTAATGGCACAGCCTGTCCTGGATTTTAGTCCTGCCCTCCTAACACAAAGTCCTGGCCTCTGAGGTTCTCCTTGCTGTCCTCCGACACTGGGCTACAGGTGGAATGTGTGTTGGCAGTAGGACAGAGTGAGAGAATGCAGACCAAAGGGGAGGATAAGACAGACGGCTGGTCCCCAAATTCCAGTTTCCCATCTCTCACCATGGCTGAAGTCCTACCACTGACTAAATAGTCTCCCATTTAAGGACTGACCTTGGGCTGCTTCTGTTTCTGTTGAATTCGATTTTCTACAAAGAGAAATTAGTTAAAACAACAGCATGATGCAATCCTCAGACATTTCCTTCCCTAGGGAGGATGTGGGTGGCTGAGAGCGCAGACCATGAAGATGTCAGGGGAAAAGGGAATGGGAAGTGAAACCAGAATGATATCTGCAGGTTTTGTCACGGGCCAGTCTGTCTGCCTGTCTGTCTGTCTCTCTCCCTCCCTCTTTCCCTCTCTCCTCCCCCTCTCTCCCTCCCACCCTCGCCTAGTCAGGTTTGGCTCTGTTCCAGACCCCCCCAAAAGGGACAAAGTGTGGGTCGTGGTGGTACAGTAATACTTTTAGTGGGAGAAGTGGCAAACACCTGCTGCAGCTGGCTGCTTTCTGTGAGGGTTGGCGGGAGGGAAAATGGAAGCACGTTCTGGGGAACGCAGAGCCATGTGACCAAGCTCTCCGTGGATTAACCCTAGCTAAAGAGTATTTTAGCCGGGGGCTGGGGATATAGCTCAGCTGGTGGAGTACTTGCCTAGCCTGCACAAAGCTAGGACGAGGACACCCGCCTGTAATCCTAGCACTCACGAGGTGGGACCAGAATCCAGGGTTTGGGGAATTTAAGGTAGCCAGGTGGTGGTGTCACACCCCTTTAATTACAGGAGGCAGGGGCAGAGGCAGGAAGATCTCTGTGAGTTTGAGGCCAGTCTGGTCTACAGAGCGAGTTCCAGGACAGCCAGGGCTACACAGAGAAACCCTGTCTAAAAAACCAAACAACAAAAAACCCACAAACTGTACATGGGGTTTTCTTTCCAGCCTGGTCCCACAGCCGATTAGCCCCAAATAAACACACAAAGACATAATAATTTATAAACTATTGATTGATGCTAGGACTTCTTACTAGCTAGATCTGTCTTAATTATTTCCATTTCTATTAATCTGTGTGTAGCCACAAGGCTGTGGCTTACCTATAATCTGGCATGTTACTCCTTCGGCAGCATGGTGGCTGTTTGCAGCCTCCCTCTGCCTTCCTCTCCCCTGCCTTCTCCTGGTCTGGTAGCCCTGCCTCTGATTTCTGCCTGGCTACTGGCCAATCAGTGGTTTGTTCATCAACCAATAAGAGAAACATATATACAGAAGGACATCCCCCATCAACAAACTAACAATAGAAATTCGGGGTCATCTTCTAGGTGCATAGAGAGTTCCAGTCCAGGCTGAACTGACTGACTCCCTGTTAGAATAAAGGGAGTGGAGATTACTAAGATGAAGTCCATCACCACTAGCTTCATCCTTGAGACACTTCTCTGTCCTTGATTGTTAGCTAGATGGGGTATGCTGCCCACAGTTTTGCCTGGGTACATGCACTGTATGTATTTAATGTGTACTTGTATATATAGTCTCCCTTCTCACTGTCACACACACGTATTGTCAGAGGTGTCTTAAGGTGAAGAAAAGCAGTTCCCGTGGTAGCTGGATCCAGTAATAGGAGTCAAAGCTGGGTGAGCTTGGTAAACTCAAATTACTTTAAGATCTCCGAGCCTTAGTTTCCGATTCTGTAAATGGGAATGGCAGCATTAGTTCCGCAAAATGATGTAGGTGAAGGCCTTTCTCTAGGACCAGACATAGCAAATGCTTCCTATGGGCTGGCTGCTACTGCTCTAAAGCTTTTGTTTGTCTGTTTTTTTTGTTTGTTTGTTTTGTTTGGGGGGTGGGTACACAATAGCCCTGCTGGCCTGGAGCCCCATAGAGATCCTCTATCTCTGCCTCTCCAGTTCTGGGGTTAAAGGCATGTGCCACCACACTTGGCCAACACAAGCACCTTTCAAGGGGAAAATAATATCCTGTTTGCAAGAGGGGGAAAACCAGAGCCCACGGGAGGTAAGTGACCCTTCTGCCCTGGTTTTCTGTTGCATAACAAAAAAAACCACAAAGTATCAGGTTACAACAATACATATACATTGTTTGTTGTTTCCATGGAGTCTAAACACCGCTGCCCAAGTGAGCTGGTCTGCTCAGGGTCTCCTATAACTGTAATCAAGGTCTCTGTGAGGCAAAAGTCCTGCTCTATGATAACATGACTGTTGGCAAAATTAATTTCTTGAAGCTGTTGAACTCAATGGTTATCTCGCTCTGTTGAGAACAACTTAAGTCAGGCCCACCCAGGATAATCTCTTTTACTAACCCATGAATCAGCTAATTGGGGATACGAATACATCCGCAAAATCCTTTTACCTGTGCTTTCTAATATAACCTATTATACACTCAGTGGCATCCTCCATAATTTATAGGCCCTACACACATCAAGAACAGAAAATTGGGAACCTGGAAAGACGGCTCAGTGGTTAAGAGCACTAGCTGCTCGTGTAGAGGACCCAGATTCCATTTCCAGCATCCACTTCAGATAGGCCCCAATTGCATGTAACTCCAGTTCCAGGGGGATATGATGTCTCAGGACTTTGAGGGTACCAGGACTCATGGATACAGACTCACAAGGCCCCACACACATATCCATAACTTAAAATAAAAGAAGGCGCTGGAGAGATGGCTTGGTAGTTAAGAGTACTGGCTGCTCTTTCCATCGCTCAATTCCCAGCACTCAAATGGCAGCCCACAACTGTCTGCAGCTCCAGTCCCAAGTGGTCTGTCACCCTTACTCAAATGGTAGCCCACAACTGTCTGCAGCTCCAGTCCCAAGTGATCTGTCACCCTTACTCTAATGGCAGCCCACAACTGTCTGCAGCTCCAGTCCCAAGTGGTCTGTCACCCTTACACAGACACACCGTACATGTAGGCAAAGCACCAATGCACATGAGATTAAAATTGTATTTAATTATAAGATAATAAACACACCAGGTGGTGGTGGCGGCGGCGGCGGCGCACGCCTTTAATCCCAGCACTCGGAAGGCAGAGGCAGACGGATCTCTGTGAATTTGAGACCAGCCTGTTCTGCAAGAGCTAGTTCCAGGACAGTCTCCAAAACCACAGAGAAACTCTTGTCTCGAAAAATAAAAAAATAGCCAGGCGTTGGTGGCGAATGCCTTTAATCCCAGCACTTGGGAGGCAGAGGCAGGTGGATCTCTGTGAGTTTGAGGCCAGCCTGGTCTACAAGAGCTAGTTCCAGGACAGCCTCCAAAGCCACAGAGAAACCCTGTCTCGAAAACCAAAAAAGAAAAAAGAAAAATAAAAAAGAAAAATAAAAAAATAAAGAAAAAGAAAAGATAAACACTTAAAAGAGAGAGAGAAGGGATTTATAAAGCGTGTATATGTTATGGAGGAGGGAAGAAATCTTAGGCTATCTTGGAATTCTGCCTACTTCCCAGAACTTCACAGGGAATATTGACATGGGAGTATCTGTTTGATGTGTAAGCTTTTCCATGCCTCATGAAAGAAATATCCAAGAGTTTCTGGACATTGGCAGATTGTAAGTTAAGAACAGTATAGTATAATACCATATTCCTTCTTCAGTTCTTAGAATTAATGTACTGATTAGTGTAAACTTTCTAGACAAATAAACCCAGTCAAAAGATTGAGAGGTAATGAAGGGTGTGTTCACCAACCTGTAAGATGGCTTCTGCTTTGGTTTGGACATGAAGTGCCCACTTCCCTAAGGTTTTTGTTTTGGCTTGGTTTTATTGTGTTTCCCGACCCACCCCAGCTTTCCTTTTCCTTCCTTCCTTCCTTCCTTCCTTCCTCCCTCCCTCCCTCCCTCCCTCCCTTCCTTCCTGACAGGGCTTTTTTGTGAAACAGCCCTGGCTATCATGGAACTTAGTTTATAAACCAAACCAGTGCGGAACTCACTGAGATCCACCAGCCTCTGCCTCTGGAGCGCAGCGATAAAGTTCTGTGCCACCACCACCAGGCTAAGGCTTGGGTTTTAAAGGCTTGATTGCCAACAGTTTTGGAGAAGTGACTGAATCCTGAGGTCTCTGACCTAATCAGAGGATTAAGCCCTTAATGGATTTACAACACAGCATTATTGGGAAGTGGTAAACCGTAGAGGTGGGGCAGTGTTTGAGGAAGTAGGTCACTGGCGGTTTGCCTGAAAAGTTATACTTGTCCCTGACCCCTTGTCTCTCACCGTGTACTGGCCACCATGTGTGACCAACTCTGCTCCAGCCTGCCCTAGCTCCAGATTTTGTCTCCTCACAGGCCCAAAAACACAGAGCCAGGTAAGGGCAGATGGCCTCAAGTCGAAATAAATCCCTGCTCCCTGTGTCTCTCTCAGGTATTTTGTCAGTCGTAAAAGAGTGACTAAGTGAGTCTTGCCTCTCCCGGCATTCCTGCCTTTGTAACAGCTTACTGTGACAGTCAACAGGACTGACCTATATGCATGACTAATGAGATGCTATGAAAGGGAGAGTGTGTGACTTCCAAAGCTAGGACGTAAAAGGCCTTGTAGCTTCTACCTGGCTCTCTTGGATCACTGGCTCTGGGAAACCAGCTGCTATGTCATGAGGACACACATTTCTACATTAATCCAGGAGTGAGCAACTGAGGCCTCTTGCCAAGAGCTAGAGCCAAGTTTCCAGGCATGTGAATGTGCCCTATTGGAAATAGATCCTCCTGCCCAGTCAGGCTTTCAGATGACTCCAACATAGCCCATATCTGGATTGCTACTTTCTGAGATGCCCTCCCCATCTCCCCACCCCGCCCCACCTCTAGAACTAACGACCTCAGCTGCTCCTGAGTCTCTGACTCACAGAAGCCACGAGAGATTTGTCATCATAAATCCCTAAGTCTAAAGAGACTGTTAAACAGCAACAGATTACTAATATTTCTCAAGCTAGTATCTCACCCAAAGAATGGTACTTGTGTTGAGAATACCACGGCAGTACACAGTCAGCCTCTGGTCTTTCCTTCCACAGGCTGTGGGAAAGCAAGGCAACAGCTAACAGAAACTGAAGTCCAAAGGCAGGCCTGTCAACGTCCACTTTAACACAGACATTCCTTAAACAGTGGACATATGTGTCCACGCCACCCACCACATGTTACCGGTAGCTACATGTAGCCATTGTGCACTTAGAAAGAGGTTTTGCAACTCAATTTGTATTTTTAAAGAGTCACAATGGCTGGCAGCTACTGTGTTGAAGGAGCAAATTTATCACGTGAGAATGCATGCTACCAGAAAAGTAATGATTTGTAAGAACCAGAAATTCACCCAAGGGACGCAGGGAAATAAAATATAGTATGATCTAGAGACTTGAGACCCCAATCTACTGCTTCAGAGGGGGCTATGAGATTTGAGTATCCCCCAGTGAATAGACGATGAGCAACACAACCCTTTGCTAGGCACTGTGATTATGACTCCAGAGGCTCACTACATGGGTTCAAATCCCATCTCTTGTCACTAGTAAACTCTAGACTTGGAAAAGTTATTTAACCTCTTTGATGCAGTTTTCCCATTTCTAACAACTGTTTCATGCTGTTAGGATAATTAATGGGTTCAAATGTGAAACATTTGAATGGATTCCTGTGTTATATGTGATGTGAGGGGCCAACAGACTAACTACTAAATTCCTCTTGGTGCCTTTTTTCCCACTGAACATTATGGTGATGCCAAGCCCAAGCCACCAATGTCAACGCACCTCAAACTGAGGTTCCACTCCACAGAGACAAGCTAGGAGCAGGTCATAGCCTTACTGAAGGCTTCTAAGACTTGTCAGCTGTGTGTGAAACTACAGCAGGGCCTGCAGAGCCGAAGCAGGTGACATCAAGGAAACAGGTGTAAACTGAGTCAAGAAAAAGCCAGTTTCCTCTTATCCACTCCTCCTCGTCATAGAGACTGAACGGTTGACAGTGTATCCTTTTTTTCAATTCCTGAGCTAAGTGAGTTATTTGGACTTTCATTAAGAAGCATCACGCTTTCTACAGTGACTCATTTGAGGGTTATTTTTTACTATTCTAGTTTACTAGTATTATGCGTGTATCCCAGCAGTTGCTCTCAAACAACCAGAGACTTTATAATATTGTTTGGCTGACAGCTTAGGCTTGCTTTTTAGCTAGGTCTTAAATTAACCCATTCCTATCCATCTATGTGCTGCCCCAAGGCTCGTTTACCACATGAACGCAGCATCTCCCATGCTGCTCGCTCTGTCTCTTTGAGTCTCAAGACTCCCTGACCCACCCCTTCTTCCCAGCAGAATTTCTGTCCCCAAAACCCTGCCTAGTCATCGGCCAATCAGCTTTTCAGTAACAATGCCAGCAGCACGTCTTCAGTGTACATAAAGAGTTATTCCTTTTGTCTAATTTCCCCCTTTCTGTTTAGTTAAAAAGGTTTAACTTTAACATAGTAAAAGGATATGTAACAAAAAGTTATTAAGAATTGCAGCTACAATATCCAGTTCGTTTGTATTTGGCAAAACTAAGAGAAAATATTTTATTACTTGTATTTGTGAGTTTAAAGTTTTATATCTAATTTACTTTTATCATAACTAAGGAAAACTTTAATTATTTTGTCTCTAAACTCCTTCAAAGGCTCCTGAAGGGTGTGATGTTACTGACAGGGACATCTGGCTGCCTGGACAGTCACCCAACATTCTTTGATGTGATATAGGAATGATAGGGAGGTTAAGGTTAAAACCTTTTTATTTAGATAAAAAGGGGAAATGTAGAATATCCCTTTACACACCTGAATACGTGTCACTGTGATTTGTTTGATGACGCCGACTGGCCTATAGCTAGGCAGGATCAGGTTAGGTAGGAGAACCAGACTAAGGATGGGCTGGGGAGAGAGGGCAAAGTCTCCAGATGAAGAGAGAAAACGAACTTGTTGTACTGTAAATAAGTACCACCACATAGCAGAATTTAAAAAGAAATATGGACTAATTGCTAGTCAGTAACAAGACTAAGCTATTGGCTGGGCACTTATAATTAATCTCTCATATGGTTATCTGGGAACTGGCTGGCAAGACAGAAAAGTCAGCCAACACAGGTGGACCACAGAGGTCACAGGACAACTTTACGAGCTGGTTCACTCCTTCCATGGTAGAGTCCAGGAATCACACTCAGGTCCTCAGGCTTAACTGACAAGTCCTCTTATCCTCAGAGCCATCTCAAAGGCCTCAGGGATTCCCAGTTTGTTTCCAAACCTGGTGTTGCTTAATTAAAACACGGAGAGAGACAGGATGCTCCGTCCAGACCATCAGAATACATTTTCTGGCATCTTTCCTCCCTCCTGCTGTTTCACATCTGCCCTGTGTCTGGGACCTGAAAATGTCTCACAAGCTTTGAGTTCAAGGGGTACACTCCAAAAGGAATGACTTGTTACGACCTTTAAAATGACACTGGGCGTGATGGCGCTCACCTTTAATCCCAGCACCAAGGAGGCAGAGGCAGGCGGATCTTGGTGAATTTGAGGCCAGCATGGTCTACAGAGTTAGTTCCAGGACAACCAGGGCTACACAGAAAAACCCTGTCTTGAAAAAGCAGAAATAAAATGACAAGCTGACAATCTAGAAAGTACCAGGTTTTATTACCTTTTTATCAAAAAAGAAATCAGTAACAGACGACAGTGTGAGAGGGTACAGAAAGGGTGGAGGCCCCGAGGCTAGAAGAGGACCCAGCCAGCTGGGACCGCACCCAGGTGCTGATGGGACTTGCAGGCACGGGTATGGTTGAGGGAATACGATCTCCCCAACCCACACACACCCTGGATGTAAGCCACTCTGTAAGAGGGAGAGGTCCCAGGCTACAGAACTCACTGGGGCCTCATCACCTTCCTCCTGGTCCCCTTCCCTTGCTCCGGGAGACAAGCAAAGCTGAGCAGTCACCTAAGCCAGCTTAAGTCTCTTAGCAATGTGCTCTGTGGATGGTGACCGAGCACTCTGATTTGTGGCCAGCGCAACTGAGGAATGGATTTCTAACCATGTGGTCTGAACCGACCTGATTTATGCAGCCACATGAGGTCACTGTCATCTAGAGAAGCCTGGAGAAATCAGCCCCAGAAGCTATGCTGCTGGGCCCCCAGCAGGAGGCAGGACGAGGGTTAAGAGTCAGCCACCCTCGACTACTCCAGCTCAACCACAAGAAGGCACCAGGCACAGGGCAAGAGAAGGGGGCAAAGCCTACTCAGTCACACAAAAATTCACTCACGCAGCCACCCGAGCCAATATGAAACTGGTAAAACCATTCTATATCCTAAAAAAATATATTCTTCTATTCTTCTAGAGCCAAGTAAGGATAATATATTACAAGAACATGTACACAAACATCCCACTATCCCGTACGTTATAGTCTGGAATCTGCTAGAATATTATAGCTACTTCTTAAGACAAAGCAACTTCAGAAAGGGCCAAGGTCATAAAAAAAACAGTGCAGAGTATTTTTTTTAATGGTGGGGACAGTAAAGAAAGGAAGAAGAAGAAGCAGCCCTGTCTGAAGCTATAAATAGTAACAAAAATTAATAAAAATCATTATCTCCAACTCTTCTCTCATTTTCAAAAAACAGAACAACATAAAAACCAAGACACACACACTTAGCTGGTGCAATGGAAATGTTCGACACAGAACATTTGCACATTCCCACTCTTAGCCCAGGCACAGGCACTTACATAAAGGAATGAACCACTTTAAAAATTAGCTTTTATCAATCTTCTACAAATGCATTTCAGCACTTCACCCCACCCTCCCCAGACTAAAAACAAAAAACAGTTGAGTTCCAAAGTCACTGAAAGAGCCTAGAATGGCCCAAGGTGTGCCAGAGACTCTGTGGTGTGCACCACACGTGGGCAGGCACATCTCAGGGTGTACAAGGTGCAGTGGGTTCCAGCTTCTTGCCCCAGCACGTGTGGAAGGCAGCCAACTTGGCTTCCAGGGGCAAGGCTGTCACAGATGTGGCATACTCACTACAGGCTCTAAACTGGTCCTAGATTCTATTCTGGAAATTTGGAGAGAAAAAAAAAATGACCCAAACCCAGGCTTGCCTTTAGATAGGGCAAGTTCAACCCCTTTTTTTCTGCCAGGGCAACCGAGACCCATGCACCTCCACCCCCAAATCCAAGTGAGGCAGCACAGTAGAAGATGATCTTTCTTCTGACCCCAGAAAGGTGACCAGAGACGGAGACACTGACAAGTCAGTACTAATTGCCCTCCCTCTACAAATGCCCACCGTCCAATCCTCTGACTCCCCTCCCCATTAAGTCCAAGCAGCACTCAAGGGAAACTTCACGCGTAGAACTCATTGGTGGGGGCTTTTTTGTAGATGGGTTTCTTGCCCAAGTCGTAACTGCCTTCATCCTTCTTCTTCATGCGGTACACCAGCAGCAGGATCAGGAAAACGGCGAAGAGGATGCCCACCACGCCGCCCACAATCAAAGCTGGAGGAAGAGAGCAAGAGATGAGGGTGAGATGCTCCTTGGGACCTCAAGGTCCACGCGCTCTTCTACCCACAGTCCGTTTTCTCTGTCACTACGACTACCCCACTCACCAAGGGAGATGACACCGTATCAGCTTTGACTGTCACGACTTCCATGACAGCATGACTTAGTAAGACCACAACTAAAATGGACCACAAAGCAAAACCACTACTGACCTAGTCTACACATCTGGCCTAGTCCAAAGCTTGGGCTCTTTCTAAATATCACATAGACTCTCTAGCAATAACAGCTTAGCACTAGGCCAGGAACAAGGAAATGGCAGGCTGCAGAAACTCAGACACTTCTAGCCTTACCACGGGCTACCCTACCTTTCTCTGTGCTCACAGGTTCCCCCCCACCTAGACCCACACATTCCAGACAGGCATCACACTCTAAAAACTTGCAGAACTCACTGATGTCCACACTGTCACAGCACAAATAACTACTAGTTATTATGGTTTCTGTTCCCGTGTCTTAGGGTGGATTCCCACTGGTTTCTCCTTGAACTTTGAACCTTCTCCACCTACAGTACTACTGTGTCTGCTGAGGCAAGTTTCTTCATCTCTTTCTTTCATTTTGATATTTTTCCCTACAAACTAAGATAAATTAATCTACGCAAAGCGCTTGGAGCCATGCCTGATGTAGTGTCTATGCTCAGGCTTCCAGGGCTGTGAACCTCTGGCCCTCGTGTTCCCCACCACACTGAACTAAGTGTCCCTGGCGGTTCAGCTCACTGAGGAGCACCTGGCTGGGGGCAGGCAGAGGTAGGCTTCTCCACTTGGGTGAGCATCTGCCCATCCACCATGCCAGGTGGCCAGAGTAACTCATTTCTATTTGTCAGGGGTGGGAGTGGCCAACAGAATCCTTCCGGTGGCAGACTGAATCCCCTAATCCTGTCTTACCCAGGCTAAGAAGATTAATTTCTCTCTCTCACACACACACACCACAAATCTACACACAGAATGGAGCAGAGGAGCCAGAAGAACCAAGAATTTCTTCTTAGTAAAAACAATAATAGTAACTCAATTAAAAAAGCAAGAAAGCGCCACCAGGGATCTCAAAGCACCGGCACTATCAATCAGGCAAATACCACCTTCCTGTCTCCAGCTGTTGCTTTCCCTCCAGTAACTCCACTCCTCCTTCAGGTCCTTGATCTGCGCTGGGAAACTAACTCTGCAGGAGTGAGGCTCAGTCACAGGTCCAGAAGGCAACCAACTGCGTGCCAGATCCAAACACCAGGCCCACCAGGCCCTGGCTTTGTGACCTGGACAAGTTATTCTGGTTTCCAGTCCAGGTTGCTGGAGGGGTTCCATGGGGTGCAGCACAGGAACCATGTGACACACAGACACTTAGCAGAACTTCCAGGTGCTACGCAAAAGCTACACGGTAACTGAGGCCAGGCTTTCAGAGTCGTTGAGCCTCTGCTGTCCCTTCAGTGGTGAAGCCACAGGGGCTAGAGAAATGGACTTTCCTACAAAAGACCTCACACTGGTGTGACCCTGACGTGAAGGAGTAAAGGAAGGGACAGAAGGCCATAAGTTCTTCTCTCACTCTGTGAACCAGAGGTGGACCTGTGTCTCCCCAAAAATAAGAAAAAGCAGCCTGACTCCGTCCGTGGTTTTCGAAGTTTTCTTGAGAAAAAAAAAAAAAAAAGCCTACTGAACCGATCTGAAACTCTGCAGATGTAAATGTAGCCAGCAGGTCTAAAATATGCTAACAGCGAAACTCTACGGTTGAGGGGAGTTCTCTCCACGAAGCTCAAAACGTCTCAGGCCTAACAGTTTCTAAGGACTGCTCGCTCTGACAGACACCAACACACGGAGTGGTAAAGGAAACGCAGAATGAATGTGGGCCGGAGACCAGAGGCAGAGATGCGCTGTGTGACCCAAGTCACCGGTGTATGCAAGGCCAGAGAGAGCCTGAGCAGCTGAAGGAAGGAGGGAGGACAAAATGACATGCAGGCACACGGTTCCTAACACCTCGGCCCTCTCTGGCTCAGATGGTTCCCAGGAAACAGGAATTACCTAGCATGGACTTGCTATACCCACGCCCCTCACCAGCCAGTCCACCCAGACTGCCTACTTATCTCTTCATAGGTTGCTCCTCCCTCTGACAGCCTGGTGGGAGACGCCCCACCCCCATCCTGTGCTACCAGAACAAGAGCAACACTACTCCCAGCTCACGTACCCCTGCCAGCCTTGACACAACCCCACCTAGAGCCTCACCCAGTGAAGCACATTCCCTGCCAAGGGTCTCTTAGGCCAAAATGTCCTGATTCTGCAACATAAAAGCATCCCATTTCCTACCTGCTAAGGGACAGTGACAGCACTAACAATTACACCATCACAGCCTTCTGCAATTTGCAAAGGAATTTCGTATTTCATCTTTCACAAACCAACTCAAGGAAGCACCGTTGTTCCCTTTTTACAGAGAGTAGACTTTTTACAGAGAGGTAGACTCCCTTCAAAAGCACCCTGGCCAAGGTCACAGGGCTATCAGGAGATAGGAAAGTGAAAGAGGAGCCAATCTAATTCCCCGGGGGCTCCGGGCTTTCAAGGGAAATTAACCCTTAAATAATTACCTCCGGATGCTACTCAGTCAGAGGAAAGGCTTGGAGAGGGGCTTAAAGAAACAATTCCTCTTCTATTCTTTGGGAGACTTTGATATGCATCGATTCTCCCTGCCATCCTCCCCTAAAGGGAGATAAAGCCCTCGGACGCCCCAAGGTGAAGTGAAGGGCTAAGGACTCCTCTGTCACCCAGGAGGAGTACGCAGTCTTACCTGCCAGGACCTCGGTCCTCTCAAAAATGTTGCCGTCCTGGGCAGTGCTGGACATGGACACTTTGTTAGATATATCACTATCCACTTCGGAGGGTGAGGCCCTTTTGGGAATGACTTCATTCTCCTCCAGTTCCTTGGATTCTGAGGGGACACGGATCCCAGGCTGTGCCCTCTCAGGAATGTGGTTATTTACAGGCACCTGAAAGGGAAGGGGGGGGAGATACTGAGCACATCTGAAGAGGAAGTAGATGGAAGGGGACCCAAGAGGATGACAGGCGGAGGAAAACATCCAACCCAAATGGGAAATGAACATGGGGGGCCACTGGCATGTCTTCCCATACTTCAGCAGGTATATGCTGTAGTAACCACGAGAGAGAGAGAGAGAGAGAGAGAGAGAGAGAGAGAGAGAGAGAGAGAGAGAGAGCGCAAGTGTGTCAAGCATAGTGTTTTACTTTCAGAACACCACAGTTTATTGACAGCTGTTTTATCAGTAAGAGGAACAGACTACAGACTACAGCCTGGAAAAGTAAAAGACGCAGGGAAACAAGCCCCGACAAGTCCTGAGTTGTGAGTGTTGGGTTTTTTTTGTTTTCTATGCCCTCAGGACTTCATAGTGGTCCTGAGGGCACAGAAATGCACGTGCAATTTGAAAGCAATGCTGTCAAACAGTTGCAAATGCATAAGGAGGAGGCTGGGGTCATTTTTCTCCAAGGAGGATGGTCCACCAACCTGCCCTGCCCACGCCTGCCCCAAAATGAGCCCAGTGCCCCAGTAAGAGAGTCTTCAAAGTGGAGTCAACTGCTGATATTTATTCACAGGCTGTATTTTCTGCCCCTCTTGGTGGGTTCGCTGTGCAAGAGCAGAAGTAAAGGGGGAGATACAAAGGGTGCAGGACTTACCAAGGGATGAATCACTTCAGGGAAGGTCTTGGTCTCCTCTGTGTCATCTGCAAAGTTAGTGGAATGGCTGTGTGAGCATGAGGTCGGTCCCTTGTGTCCAGGGAACTGACTCCTTCAGCTGGTGGAGTCCTTCCCTGTCAGCTTTAGTCACCCACTGTGAAACGTAAGACCCCCTAGGACACCGGGCTCATTCCCAGCAGTATGTATGCTGGTAGTCCACAAAGTTTGCAGGAACTCTGTGAGCTCCAAACCCTTACTATGAATCATACAGATTCACAGAAAACAGAAGTATCTGGAAGCTGGTTAGAAATGCAAAATGACCCTGACTGAGTAAGTGGGGCACATCTGGAATCCCAGAACACCGGAAGCCAGGACAGGATCGAGAGTCCCAGACCAGCCTGGGCACCACAGTAAGAGCCTGCTGTCTCAAACGCTCAAGGCTGGAGAGGAAGTTAGTGGTGGAACACTTGGTGCAAAGCCCTAAATTCAATCTCTATCTGGGAGGACTGACCAGCCTAGGGCCAAGTTAACTGGGATTCACATCTGAACACACTCCCCAGGAAATTAACTTTGGGGAAAGGAAGCAGTTCATTATAATACTTAATACTACACAAAGCAACATAAAATTCAACTGCCGGAGGCAGAGAGCTTGCTTCTCTGCTGCAACCCTGTGTAGGCTGTTCTAGAGCCTAAATGTAGGTCTCAGTGTACATGGCAAATTTTACTTCTAAAAATCTGGGGCTTTGTAAATTCAGTCCACAACACTCACAATCCTTCCAACACTTGTTTTTGGTTTTTTTGGTTTGTTTTATTTTGTTTTGAGATGGGTTCTCTGTGGCTTTGGAGGCTGTCCTGGAACTAGCTCTTGTAGACCAGGCTGGTCTCGAACTCAAGAGATCTGCCTGCCTCTGCCTTCCTAGTGCTTGGATTAAAGGCATGCATGCACCACCACTGCCTGGCTCCAACACTTGTTTTACATAGTAAGAAACCAAGGTTCTGGAGGAAGGCAAAGCTGGAATTCTGGACTAAAGCTTCAAACTTGGAATCAGTAACATACCCCTATGCCCTGAACAGGAGAGGGTGGCACCTCTCAGGCGCTGTCTGATACAGAGGCCAGAAAGCCCACGGAAGTCCTGGCACCTGGTCACATCCCTGAGAAACCTGAGACTCCATCGTATCTGAAGCAGGAGTCTGTCTTCGGCTCCCTGTCCACATCTCAGCCCACACATGCGTCTCTAGTCGTCCCCCCGCACCTCCCCCCCGCCTCCCAGCCCCCCACTCCCGCTTCTGAGCCAGTACTTTTCCTTTCCAAAGGAAGAAAAACACTCTGGGTCTTTCCCCACGCTCCCTCTAGCCTCCGCCAGAGAAAGGAGCCTATTGGACAGGTTCAGGCTAGTGCCTGCAAACTCAGAGGAAAGAATTCTAAATTGTTTACAACTCACCGGGAGACCCCGGGGGTGGGAAAATGCTACTTTTGTTGCCCTTTTTGAAGTGGAGAAGGGAAGTTGTAGGAAAATCTCCACTAAAATACACATCTCTCCTGTTGGGGCCACAATTCCCAGAAGCCCAGGTCCCCAGACTGCCCAAGCACACTTCCATACCCAGGTCTCCAGAGCCCGACAGCTCAAAGTCATCTGACTCTTGATCCAGGCCCCCAGCATCTTCATCATCAGGAAGGGCTCCAGAGTATCTGCCTTCCAGGAAGTCCTGGTGGTCTATGACCTCAGTCTCTCGAATCTAGGAAGAAAGGCCAAGTATCATCCCACAGCTCCATTTCCCTCCCTCTGAACACTCTGGAGGTTGGGGCCTCCAGAACCAAAGCGAACACTCAGGCACAAGCAGGATTACAGGCCTAGATGGGAAGCCTTGGGGCCTGTCTCCCGTATGCTATATAACCTTATCAGGTCTCTTTACCATTCTGGGTTAATAAAAATATTTCAAGTGGCAAGACAGTGAGCACTAAAGGCTTTAAACCATTCTCTCTTGGTGGCACAAGTGACAGGCAGGAGGGAGGAAGCATGTGGGGGCAACCTGGCTCCAGGGCCAGCGGTTTCCATGCGCACAGGCATGCCCAGGATACTCCTGTCTAGGGTCCTATGACAGCAGCTGATTTCCACATGGAAGGGAGTAGGCTACTGGCTCTGGGCCTGCCCAGTCAGGAACACATTCCCCATTCCCCAACTGAGTCACACTGGGCTGAGACAGACAGGGCTGGCTCACTCACACCCCAAGACAGCCACAGGGCACAGCTCAGACCTGGTGACTCAAAGGCACACTCTGGAATTCAGCTTCTCTCAAACGTCCGTTGTGCCAGCTCTGCGGGGCACAAAGACACAGATCCTTGCTCGCTCAGACCATGTCACCCATTCCTCAGAGACCCAGCGGGCCACCAGAGTCTAAGGTCAATTCCCTCTAAACAACTTTTGAAAGGCAAACAACTAAGATCCCCCCCCAACACCTCTTACTCTGCCCCTCCCCCAGCCATCTCCTGGCCCTACTGGGTATTAAACGAAGTTTCTTCGGGGGCATAGGGTGCACTGAGGCGCCCACTGCCCTTCTGCCGGCCTCTGGACTCAGGCCACCGTTCCTGTAAACAACAACCAGGTACAAGGGTCACTGCTCCACTCAGAGCTACCCTCCTCCAGCAGTCAGGACTGCAGAGGATGAGCCTCTACTTAAGAGGTTCAGAATAAATAAAAACATTCAGGCCTGGGAAGACCCTTTTCTCCTTTACGGAGAATTCTGACCGTATTCAAACCAGAAACTAGTAGTGATAACCCAAAGGCCACACAGAGAATTAGGGTAGAAAGTGGCCGGGTCTGTTTCTGACAGCCCCAGGCTGTTCTTCACCCAACCAAGGCCTCAGTGACAGAACCGGGATAGTGAGAAGGAACGCTGGTCTATCCCAAACACCCGAGATCAAGTGGCAGGAGAGGTCAGAAGAGCAGTTTGGGGGTCAGGCTCCTCTTCACTCTCTCTCCCACAGGCTTCCGGGGAGAGGTGGCAGGAGCTGACTGTGCCCTCTATACACCCCCGTGATCAGGAAACCAGATTCTGGGAAGGGAGCTGAGAGGAAGTCAGGGAGGCATCCCTCTCTCCCCGGGGTGGGGAAGTCAATGCAGAGCCCTTGGTACCCGTGGGAGTGGGGAGCCAGCAGGGGTTAAGCCCTGCTTAGGAATGACTTCATGACTCCGGAATCGGGAGCTGTTGGGCTGCTGGTACTGGAATTCCAGCCCCCGCACAGGGCCCGTGCCTGTGGCTTTGGTTTGGCAGCACAGCAAGGCTTCTCTGTGGTTGTACAAGTGCCCTAGATGTCAGGCCACGTCCCAACCCCCAACAACCTTTGCTACAAATTCCCTAAGGCTCAAAATCCAAAACAACAAGGCCTCCTCCATTGCTTACAGTGTGCCAGGCCTAACAGTCACGCACACACGCAGCTGGGATGACGTAGCCCCTTTTGGTAGGTGTGGAAACCCAGGCTCGGAAAAGCAAATTATTTCTCTAAGGTCACACAAGCAGAAAGTGACCAACAAGACCAGCCCTCAGGCATGAGGTCACCTGGGCTTTTAGCAACAGACACAGGAATACATTTGTGCTTAAGGCTACCAGTCTGCCCTAGGCTAGACAGGGAACACTAAGTGGGCGTGTCTAATCCAGCTAGGGGTTGGGGTAAGAAGAGATGGAGGGAAGGAGGGAGGCTGATATTGATACTTTTGACCACCAAAGCCTGAAAGACTAGTCAGGGAAAATGCTGAGCATTTTCAGCAAAGGGCTTGGATTCCAGCACAGAGGTCTCTGGCCTGGAGACCTTCCCTACCCAACCTCACCACTAGGAAGGAGCCTTGGAATGTTAAATCATGCACTGAACCACCTTAATTTGTGAAAGTGTTTCAGGGTGTTTCACAACAACCCAGGAGATTGGAGATAAGCATGTTCATTGGCTTTCAGTAATTACTTCAATCTTCCATTAGAAAAATGAGGCCCAGGAAAGAAAGCTATAACAATCTGATGTTGGTAAAACTGAAGCTGAAACCCAGGTCTATTCCTTGGTCAGTCAGCCCCTACCTGGTATCCCCCATCCCCTACCCCTTCATTTTGAGGCAACATCTCACTAGGTAGTCTTGGCTGGCCTGGTACTCTGCATCTCCAGTGCCCAGCCCCCTATCCCGTCACCTTTATGCTAAATTGCAGAGCAAAGAAACCATTACTCTGAGATCACACAGGAGCCCAGGGCCCAGCCAGGATCAGACCCTTTGCCCCAGAGGTTGGAAAGCTCTTCACAGGTGGTCTTAAGAGGACAGAAGAGTTAACCTTTGACCTCTTCAGCACTTCAGAGGCTCTTGGACACGAGCAATTCCACCTCCTGGAGCTTGCAAGATATCTTTCTGGTTCTTCCTCTGCTCACCATCTTTAACAAGAGGAAACTCTCTAGTGGATGGACAGCAGCCACTGAGGCCAAGACATCAAGACGGAACCAAGCCCAATGGGATTGCAAGCAATGATTTGTTTGTTTGTAAGGCTGAGAAGGTACCAACAGCCTCCCCCCCCCCACCTCCTCTTTTCAAACAAGGTCCATTCAGTAGTCTGGGGTGGCTCTGAAAAGCCAGGCGGCCACCCATCAGGCAGACCCAGCCCCGCTCCTGACTACAGATGTGGTCTGTTCACCTCAGTTCACCCCAACCCTGCCCAGGAACATGTGTTCAACATGGGTATGTCCACACCAGCATACCCTATGGGTCATCAGAACTCATCTGCTTAAAACATACAGCAGGAGGCTGTGGGTCTGTTCTCAGAGGCTCCGGCTGGCCCTGTAGCCGCTGGATATCTGAACAGCTGGCAGCTCTGGACTCTTCTCCATGGCAAGGGGGGGGGGCCGCGCGAGCAGAGGTAGGCACCCTATTGCTTTATAGGAAGCAACACCTGCCAACAGAAGGGCTCTGAGGCCACTGAGCCCAACGTCTTGTTTTATAACCTCTGAGACGGATTACTTTGCCAAGGCCACCTAGGCAGCTAGCAGCGAAGCTAAGCTTACAACCTGGGCCTCTCAGTTCCCAGGGTGAGGTGGCCTCCCACCTCTTTCTGGAGCCTTGGCTGTCCCCAGGGTTCTCAGCAAATACACAGGCTGTTGCATGAAGCTAGGAATGAAATAGAAACAAAAACACTAATCACATCCCAAAGTCTTACAATGCTCATCACCCCGGGAGAAGCATGGAGGCTGGGGTGACTACAAAAGCACCCACTGTGTATCGGGCACCCACTCTGCAAGGCTCACTGAGCCTACTCCACAGCATCATGAGGTGGTCTACCCGGTTTGCAGGTGAGAAACAGCCAGAAAGGAGGACACTGGGTTAAAACCCAGGATCTGTCTCCAGACCATGCCCTAACCACGGCCAAGCTTCTCACCATCACCCATTTCTTACCTCCAGCCTCACAACAGCACACTGGCCAAGCCAGGGCTCCAGGGCAACCCCCTTCCCTTGCCCAGGAATAAACAAAGGTGAAAGTGATATTGCTTCAACAAAGGAGCTGAAACTTGGCTGGAGTACCAGGGAGGGGTTCAGGGTCAAAACTTGGTTAACTGTGAACTAATGAGAGCCTGCTACCTGCCTCCTCCCCAGGAAGGCAGGGCCAAGGCCACACTTGATCAGGCACTCAGGAAGAGACCACAAGTGTGACGGTGGAACAAATACATTTAGGGGCAAAGGAACGTGTCCTTGGGCACCAACTTCTGGTCTTAGTGGTTCTGCAGCTCCACCAACCCCATTTCCTACAGTGGGCAGGAGTCACAACTACCTCGATGCGTCTAGGAGTTTGTTCTGACTTTTAAGCCTTCAGTTTCCTCTTTTGTAATCAGGACTGGTAAGTCCTTAGCAGAGTGATGAAAATCCACGGCAATGTATCCCCGTGTACAGGTGACCCAGTGGGTGACCTGGTACACAGCAGGTGCTCAGTACATGATGATTTTTATTAAACCCCATCAGTTTTCCTTCAGTTGGGGGAGATGAAAGCTTAGCAGGCCGAAGAGGAAACTTGCAGAGAAGCAACTGAAGGGCTGGGGAGGCCCTGGCCATCAGATGGGAGCTGCTTCTGCAAGTCTGAGAGAGGTATGACAGGCAGCCTTCTATTGCTGAGACCAAGGATGCTCCGCTGGAAAGGATGGGGAGAAACCTGCCCAGTGCAAGCTATGAACACATTATGGTAAGCAAACAGAGACAGGAAATCTCTATTTTTCCAGCAGTAATGGAAGGCACCTGAAATTCTTGGTGGCCTCAATCCTCTACTTCCTAGCTTGCCTTGAGGGGACCCCTCCCCAGTCTGGACCCTCCCCTGTCTGGACCCTCCCCAGTCTGGAAGACAAAAGGAAGTCATCTCTATCTCCAGTCTGGCGTCCTGGTTCCTGAAAGGGTTAATTAAGGAAGGTCTGGGGGGGTGGGGGTGGAGGGAGGGTTCAAATGTCGACTCTGCCCACTTCAAGGTCAAGTTACTCTGAACACAATCACCCTGCAGAGAGCCAGGCCTGGCCCAGTCAGCAGCCAGCTTTTCACCCAGCTCCCAGGCAGCCCATTCCCACAAGCACTTCTAGGATCATGGGGTACCAGCCAGGAATGAAGACGATTGGCCAGGAGCCTCAGGACAAACTCCTGCCCGGGACCAATCCAGGACCCCTGTCACGAACTATCTAGGTGGTCCTAGGTGGTGGATTCCCTTTTCTGGGCATTGGTTTCCCCACCTGTAAA